CAGACTTCAGAGACGACTGTAAAGAGTTTATATGGTCTGTTTCCTATTATTTCCCTCACGGGCAGCCGTAGTACATTTGAATTTCCGAACCGGGTCAACCATTCCGGTCCCAGTTTGTACCGTACCTAGCGCTATTGACAGGACTAGCCGGTGCAACAAGGTTGACGCGGTCAGACTTTATGTATCATATAGGTTAAATTTACTTTTACTAAAGGGGCAGAGGTGCGTGCCCTGCAACTGTAAACTTATTCTTTTCTTCTCCTAATCTTTGAATAAGCCATATAAAAAGATTATATTCAGGGTAGAAGACTTAATCTAACATTCAAAGACCTTCTGGTCATCTTGACAGTCTCGTGTATTTGTGGTAAACCCTGTAACAGCATAAAATACACGGTAGTCTTCCCATCTTTTATAGTTTCCAATTTAAACTTAGAAGATACCTACAGCCATTAAAAATTTCATTTTATCAATACCAGGTTCTGGATTTAATAAAAAGTATGAACACAAAATAAGGAAAAAAGTACAAAACTATTTTCTCTGTCTCTCTCTATTGCAGAAAAAAACTGTTTATTTTGAAAGATTCCTTGAAAAGTTTGATGTTGCAGTTTCTTGAATTTGTTTCCAAACTTTCTGATAAAAGTCTTTTTGCAGACTCTTCTTTCTTTTCGGTGGAACGGGGGCGGCGAGCGTCGAGTAGTTTTGACCCCCGTTAGACTCAGGATTATTTAGAAGATTTTCTAAGGATTTGATTTGATTTTCTGTTGATTTTAACAATAAAGCAAAATCAGGCAACTCTGAATTAGTGCCTATTTGTTCTGAAAGAATTGTTTATTTGACCCCAAGCCCTGTTCTTTAGGACAACTGTTGTTTACTCAAATTTCTAAAATACTAGACAGCTTTACTAACAATGTATGCAAACCGAATTTGCTAAAAACTGCATAAATTGCAAAAGAAATGCAAAACAAGTGCGGGCAAGATGTCAAAAACGATAATTTTCCTAAGTCGGTTGCACTGTGAAACTTATCCGATTCCGCTAAACTTATTCGGTTCCACTTCTTTGCTCTTGCTATTTCAGCAGATTGAAGTCTTAACCGCGGACTTGATTTGTTCGAAAGCAACAATGGGGATTCTGAACGTGAACGTGGTTCTTCAAATGAGAGTGCTACTGTAATGAAAGAACAATTTTGTTGACATAAACTCATCAAAATTTTTTTTTTGGTCATGGTTAATCTTTAAAGTATTTCAGTACTGTTAAATCTCGATTATAAATAAAAAATGTTGATCTACGTTTACTTGACTGTGAAGTTTAATTTTTTACATATGATACTCTTTAATAAAAAATTGATTGAAGGAAAAAATATGACCAGTCAAGTCTGTTAAAGGGACTGTATAAGCATAATTTTCTCCATGCAAAGATTAAAATGCCCTTGTTTTAAATGTTCCAAATGAATCCTAAAAAATTCTCCACAATACTACTTTCTCAGTTCAACTTTCATACATTGCCGGTCACACCCTTTAATAATATTTCTTTCGTTTTTTATTATCATAACTTTTTGTTTTTCTGAGACACCCTCTGTGATTTTTTTTTTTTCTGGTACACCCTGTATAGATTAGTGTTTGGTTTTATTCCGGGACACTCAAGAATGAATTAGAAATTATTTATCATAATTTTAAAATTGACTATTTTCAATTGTGGTTTCTCCACACAAGAGAATTGAACATTTATGTAGCAGGAAAGCAAATATGAATAATCAGAATTAAACACTTTTAAAGGTAGAAAAATGACCAAATCTTATTCAACTAAGTTTTGAGGCTCAATGAAAATTACGCTTACAGTCCCTTTAAACATTAACTTGCTATACTTTATTTAAAGTTTTTTAGTTCATAGTTTCAAGTTCTTTTTTCCTGCATTGATTTCTGTTTGGTTTGGAGCAGATACTGGTTCATACTGGCTCTCCACTGATATATTTCCACAGCTGTTCTGCCCACGTGGTGTATAGAAAACCTGTTCTACCGTACTCTTGTTTCTGCTTTTCTTTCTTCGAGGGGGAACGATTAAACCACTTTGAGTTCGTACAAGACAAGACGCTCTTCAAAATCATTTTGATAAATATTTAAAATAAATAAGTTTTTTTTAGTATTTGAACTTCAATCATCATCAGTATCTTTGAACTAAGATAATGTTCTGTACAAGAACATAATATCGAACATTTCAGAATTGGCTTTGAAATTTAAATTTTACTTTGAATTACTCAAAGAAACCCATTTTGTCATGAATACAAAAATGAATTTTGTTTCCTTTTGGAAGGATCAGCATGAAGGCTTGATCCTGACGCAAACTTTCGTCGTGGGGGAACAATTAATCCACTAACAATGTAATCATTTCAAAGCAAAAAAAAACTATTTTCACTTGATTTTTTGTGAAATTGATTAAATTCTTAAAAGTTTCTAAATTTGGGAGACAAAACAATTTTAAGATTTAAAACTAAGGTCATAAAATGCTAAAAAAAATGGCTGACCTACAAAATAAGACATCTGTAAGACCCAAATACCTAAAATGTTATTTTCCCTGACACCCCATTTCCCCCCACCCCATCTACGGGGTAATAGAGTTGACTATATTGAGCACATCTGATACATTCCTTTGCGATCTGACAATCTCCCGACTTTCTCCACTTCTCAAGCTTCCCTGGAGGTGGCTTTCTCTGCTCGGGAGTCCGAAAGTAGTAAGATCGTAGCAGCTTTCAGTTTTCTCGTAAAAATTCCATTCCCCGGGTTGTCGTCTTTGCTTACGCGGCAAACTGTTTGTCCATAATAAGGGTCGTCTTCGCACTCCGCCGGTCATGGTGGGGTTTGGTTTGGTTGAAAGGGCATGGCATGGTATGAGTGTTTATGCTTTAATTTTACTCCATTTCTATTGGTTTTCACTTGCTACATTTTATTTCTTAAATATGCTTAAGAAAAATCACTGAATATTTGAACTATCATTGAAAAGTCAAAAATGACATTACTATTTCAGTTTGCCTCATTGGACATGCATTTAAACCAACTATAATAATTTTGAGACACTAGATCGAGCTTTGAGCTACAAAATGTATGATTTAAATATTTCGGAAAATACCTTTATTTTTATTAGCGCTCTTTTCTTATAATTAGAATATGAACATTGTCTGTATATTTCTGTTAATCCCTCAAAAGATGAAACTTTAGATGCAATTTAACCAAATTAATTTAGTCTACAGAGCTGAAAACTTTAGAATGGTGGATATTTAGATTAATGCTTGATCCTCTCTTTTTCATAATATCGAGACTAACCTAATCTGGTTGTACTTGTATCCTGAAAAGTGTATTAAATTCAACCAATCAGAGTCGCGTATATGAAGCCGATAAAGATAAAGAAAGAACGGTTTAAGAAGAAAATCAAAAGTGTGTCTATTGGATACTCAGATTAAGTAATCGGGATTAAGGATATCTCATTCTAAAGTTTTCAGCTCAGGTTAACTGGCGCTGTTAACTTATTTTAATTCAATCTTCAGATCTATATAATCAAAAGCTTTAAAGTCGTCATTAATGTTTGATCCTTTATGGGCAACTTTATCCCTTCAAAAAAAGCATTCTTAACATTATATTTTAACTCTAGTTGTTCTTCCGCAGTGTTTTTTTAAATCACTTCAAAAAAGAGATTTTTAATACTTAAGAATCAGTGAACTAGACACAAGGTGAACATCAAATGAATGCGACTTTACTGGTACAACTTTGTGACCTCGTGGCTTCTGAAGTTATGATTTTATGCACAAGAATGAGAAAAGAAAATTTATCTGGTTACGTATAAGAAATTTAAACATATTTATTCTTTTTAATACAGGGTGTCCCACATCAAATTAGACCGCGTCGATGGGTCTAAATTACGATCTGGGGAACGAATCAGAAAAGCTAAGAAGAATGAATAATTTTGAAAAATTGAACAAGTCTAATCGAATTTTTTGTTGTTGCAGAAAATGCTAGATTTTTGTGTATTATGTGCGTATTTTGGCATTAAAGATTGGAGATAATCTAATATGATATGGGACGCTCTGTAGTTCTTCAATAAGGGGGGTCATGATTGAAAAGATATCACTTTGTCCCAAGCTTTATAGCACTGCGAACCAAAATAATGGTGTTATGAATAGTTATTATAAACTTAGGATAAAAACTCCTAAGTAAGAATACAATATTAATATTAATGTAACAGTGGGCGAGTTTTGTTGATCTTTTACGATCAGCAATTCAAGGATTTTTTGGATCGCTGAGATCATAGCTACCAAGGGGAATCATGCCCCCTTTCCCCCCCTCCCCTCNGTTTAGTGTATACTGTACAGTATGTATATATTGTTTAGTGTATACTGTACAGTATGTATATATTGTTTAGTGTATACTGTACAGTATGTATATATTGTTTAGTGTATACTGTACAGTATGTATATATTGTTTAGTGTATACTGTACAGTATGTATATATTGTTTAGTGTATACTGTACAGTATGTATATATTGTTTAGTGTATACTGTACAGTATGTATATATTGTTTAGTGTATACTGTACAGTATGTATATATTGTATAGTGTATACTGTACAGTATGTATATATTGTATAGTGTATACTGTACAGTATGTATATATTGTTTAGTGTATACTGTACAGTATGCAACAATATATTATGTGTTTATGGTCTACTACTAGTCCTACTGGATCGAGTGCCCCGTATTGGCCAGGTTTTATATTATTATGCATAGACATTAACTCCCGTTGTTTACTAACGCTTGGTTTTAAACCATGATTTTAGCCCAGCGATGCCCGTGGAATTTCCAAAATTTCCTTTTTTAGTCTATGTAACCTCTGGGAAACCCATGAGTTCCCTCAACAAACTTCAGTCAATTTGGTTCAGCCATAGTGAACATATAAATATGTATATAAATATATATATATAGATAGAGACATAAACTTTAATTCAATATTCTCCTACCTCGTCATCATAAGTATGTGAATCCATGATGGTGGGTTCTAATTCATCCTCATCTCCAGATACTGGAGGAGAGGGTTTCTACAAAGAAAAAAAGTTAACTAATTAAGTGGCGCCGCAGTCCGCAAGCAACATTTTTTGAATGCATTGGAAAAATAAAATAAAAAGGACTAGAACTTGTCCCATCTCTCTAGTTGCGCCCCAAATTTTTCCAGTATGAGAACGTACGTCCTTCCCCCCCCCCTAAAAAAATGCTTAAACTTAGTTAATGCCTATTTCACAGTAATTTTTCATATTTTCAAATTGTAAATTGTAATTTTGATTTGTTAAATGTTGAAAATATATTTTTTTATCTAGCTTTAAAACCTAGCTTTGCCTTGAAGTCGAAACTAAACTAAGAACATTCCCGTGTTTCTACCGTGTTACCCAATCAAAATTTGAGGCAAAGCTGTCAAGGGGTTCATGAGTTATGATCGGACTCAGGAAACTTTATTAATATTTTCTACCTTTATCCAAGTACCAAGTGTAGAAGTTGTTCTTGGAGGAGGTTTTTCTTCAAGAAGTGGAACATCGGGATAGTAGGCTGAAACCAAACCAAATATTATCAGGATAATAGGCTGAAACCAAACCAAATATTATCAGGATAATAGGCTGAAACCAAACCAAATATTATCAGGATAATAGGCTGAAACCAAACCAAATATTATCAGGATAATAGGCTGAAACCAAACCAAATATTATCAGGATAATAGGCTGAAACCAAACCAAATATTATCAGGATAATAGGCTGAAACCAAACCAAATATTATCAGGATAATAGGCTGAAACCAAACCAAATATTTAGATTCAAATCATGCTGATGCATGGTTTCAAGCAAATATTTATACTTTTGAAATATCAAAGGTCTACAACTACTTACTTTGTAGTTCAACTCCAGGGAAAGGTTGAACTACATACTTTGTGGTTCAGCTTCAGGAAAGGGTTGAACTACTTATTTTGTGATAAGCTCCAAGAAAGGGTGGAAATACTTACTTTGTGGCTCAACTCCAGGAAAAGGGTTGAACTACTTACTTTGTGGTTCAGCTCCAGGGAAGGGTTGAACTACTTACTTTGTGGTTCAGCTCCAGGAAAGGGTTGAACTTCTAAAAGACGATGTAAAGAGAGAAGAGTGGGTTGTTTTCTCTCCAGAAGGCTCGTCACCTTAAGTCATATCTTGAAAACACTATTAACATACAGTGGTAGGCGATTATATCAATACAGCAAAGACGACTTTTTTATTTAGGTTTTGACAGTTAACAAGCTTTTTTTCGAATTACAAGTTTACAAGTAATCAAAGAGAAGCTTTTTTAATTGACAGCTTCTCTTGAATTCTATGTTTATGTGTATCCATGCTGTTTAAAAGCTAGATATACAACAAAATTTAAATCGAAAGTCGTCTTCATTGTATTGATAAAATCGCCTACCACTGTAGACCTGTATTTTGCTTCCAAACCAACTTTAATGGATCAGTAAAACTGTGGAATAGAAAGACGACTGTTAGACTCAGCTTATGCTTTTAGATACAGTGAAACCCTTAATAACGAATACATCGGAAGAATTTATCAAATGTCGTCTTGACAATTTTTCAATGAGTTTTATACTATATTAAGTAAGTTTCAGCAATTGCGAAAATAAATAAATAGCCATGAATATGCGGGAACAGTTATAAAGAGTTCCATATAATCATTTAATTAAAAAATTAACTATCTGCAACATTCCATTATCAGAAAGTGACATTTGATGAATTCTTTCGATCTATTCGTTATTAAGGGTTTCACTGTAGTTCATGAATATAAAACCCAGCAATTGTGCAGAATATACATCTCTATTTCAAATTGTGAAGAATATACAACTCTATTTCAAATTGTGTAGAATATACAACTCTATTTCAAATTGTGCAGAATATACAACTCTATTTCAAATTGTGTAGAATATACAACTCTATTTCAAATTGTGCAGAATATACAACTCTATTTCAAATTGTGCAGATTATACAACTCTATTTCAAATTGGGCAGATTATACAACTCCATTTCAAATTGTGCAGAATATACAACTCTATTTCAAATTGTGATTACTTAGATAAAAGTCAGTAGATATTTAGAATCTGTGGAATTTTGTATGATTTCATAAATGTAACTGTAGACATTTGACATTTCAAATTATGAATTCTGCTGGACAAAATAGTCAGAATTTGAAATATCAAAGATAATCTGGATGCATATTAGAGTTTGAGCCGAGTAGTCAGTTACTTCAGTTTAACTATTTTGCTAAACTTCATCTTATTCAAAAGGTCTAAACTCTGCACTGATTTAGATTTTACTACGCAGCTGGGAGCTAAGGCATTCGCACCCTCTCTATGCCGAGTAGTGCAGATCCTTTTCAGTTCCATAGGATTACTACTATTCATGATCCTACCGAAGCTACCCAGATCCTTTTTAGTTCCATAGGATTACTACTATTCATGATCCTACCGGAGCTACCCAGATCCTATTCAGTTCCATGTGATTACTACTGTTCATGATCCTACCGGAGCTACCTAGATTCTTTTTCAGTTCCATAGGATTACTACTATTCATGATCCTACCGGAGCTACCAAGATTCTTTTCTGTTCCATAGGATTACTACTAATCATGATCCTACCGGAGCTACCCAGATCCTATTCAGTTCTATAGGATTACTACTATTCATGATCCTACCGGAGCTACCCAGATCCTATTCAGTTCCATAGGATTACTACTATTCATGATCCTACAGAAGCTACTAGCTATACCTGGGGTATTGTAGAGCAAACCCTGTATACTCTGTATATCCTAAGGATTCAAGAATCTCACTTCCACCCTAAATCAAATTCATTATTAAACTAGCTCAAGTGCCCGGCCTTGCCCAGGTTACTCATAATTACTATATACTCCCGCTGTTTACCCGCGCCTGGTCTTAAATTACGATTTTAGCTTATTTCCCCATATACAAGTCGACCCACTCAACTTATAAGCTTAAAACCATGCTCAGAACCAGATCGATTATCAAGTGCAATAGGTGGCAACAAAGAAATGGACCAATCATACACGCGACGTCACAAGTGTCAAATATAGCAAGGAAAACGAAATCACATTAGTTGACATGTTTTCCAAGATTAAATAAAAAAGTGTAAAAAAAAGAAAATAAAGAACACAAAATTGCACTTATTTTATCGTAAGATAAGCACTCTTTATTCCGTAATTTTCACTACTAGCCTTAGAGGGCGCTTTGCGCCCATATTCTAAATTTATTGTGATTATGTTCTCTTTGTGTACATCGTAAAACAAAACAAAAATAATTCGCGGATTTTCACAAAAAATTTCGTGGATTTTCAAAATTTTCAAAAATTTAATGAAGATCGAATTTTGATGGAGACAAATATTTGACATTTTGATCATTCATAAACCTTCCCTGGGGTCCCTAGATGTCCCACAAAAATTTGGGCCTGATCGCATCAGCCGTTTTGACGTTTATTGGATACAAACAGACAGACAAACGAACAGACAGACAAGCCAAATTTATATATAGATTATTAATAATTTTGTAGGACGCAAAAACTAAGAAGACACTTGTGACGTCAGAACACAGAACACAGAGTGTGTACAAATTCTACGTTGCCGTACTTGGCTCAGAACAGTCCCGTGGTTCTCCCAAGTTATTTTAAATAAAAAATAAAGATACTGGGCATAGAGATATTAGAGATACTGGACATAGAGATAGATAAACTATGCTTAGAGATATTAGAGATATTAAACATAAAGATATTAAAGATACTAGACATAAAGATATTAGAGATACTGGACATATTAATGATACATTGAGATATTTGAGATACTAAAAATAGAGATCTAGAGATACTGGAAATAGAGATATTATAAATACTGGACATAGAAATATCAAAGATACTGGACATTGATATATTAGAGATACTAAACAATAGACATAGAGATATTAATTCTGAATTCAAGCTTTGAAAATTAGTTTAGATTAGATTATATTAGATTATATCAGATTAGATTAGATTAGATTAGATTAGATTTGATTAGATTAGATTAGATTTTTTAGAATTAGAGATTCTGACTAAAGACGAATTTGAGTATAGAGTATAAAGGTGTGCTAAAAATTGAATTAAAACAATATATAAGTTTTTTACATAAAAATGTTAATAGCAATATTTCGTACAGCACACCACTGTAAACTCAGGTTCTTTTCGAGTACCGGGCTGAAATTCAAGCAGCTGGAGCAAGCTGTACACTCAGACTGTACAGTACAAACACAGATCTTATAAGGCAAAGCGGGACAGTACGCCAAATGAATGATTCCCTTCTAGTTAAATGTTATGTGGCACAAACACTAAAGAAAATTAAAAACAAAATTTTTACGTTTTATAGTTTTACCTATTCTCGCAAGCTGACACATGGCCTCAGCTAGAGTCTCCAGGGACACTCCATCCTTTTACAATCAATCAATTAATCAATAAAGCAATAAATCAATTAATAAATCAATCAATTTATCAATAAAGCAATCAATTTATCAATAAATCAATCAATTTATCAATAAAGCAATCAATATATCAATAAAGCAATCAATTTATCAATAAAGCAATTAATTTATCAATAAATCAATTATTTTATCAATAAAGCAATCAATTTATCAATAAAGCAATCAATTTATCAATAAATCAATCATTTTATCAATAAAGCAATCAATTTATCAATAAATCAATCCATACATCATTAAATCAATCAAGCCATCATTAAATCAATCCATCCATCATTAAATCAATCAATTAATCGGGATCGAAAAGTTCAGAAAAAAATTCATTTTATGGAAAAAAGCATTCGATTTATAATTTTACATCATTCAATACATCATTATATTCATTCAATTTATCATAAATAAATCATTTAATTTGCAGTTAAACTATTTTAGAAGTTGTTTCTTTGAGCAGCAACATTTTTGAAAACTAGAATGCAGCATTGCTTAAATAATGAGAGAAGTCTTTACATCCGGCATTTACATTCGGTTTTTACATCCAGCATTTACATCCGGCATTTACATCCGGCATTTACATCCGGCATTTACATCCAGTATTTATATCCGGCATTTACATCCGGCATTTACATCCGCTATTTACATCCGGTATTTACATCCGGCATTTACATCCGGCATTTACATCCGGTATTTACATCCGGTATTTACATCCGGTATTTACATCCGGCATTTACATCCAGAATTTACATCCGGTATTTAAATCCGGCATTTACATCCGGCATTTACATCCGGCATTTTCCGTTTTATATTTGATAAGAATCAATAGATTAATGAACAAATTAACCAATCTTTTTCTTGTTCAATCTACTTATGAAGTATAAAATGATTAAATCAAATAGTTAATTTAAAAGTGATCAATAGATTTATCTTACAATGTTTTCATATTTAATAATACCTTTTTATTTCTTTTTAACAAATCCGCTAATCTCATCATATGATATTTTTCCTTAAAAAAATGATAATGAAAAATACATAAACTTTAAATTTAACTTATAAACACTCTTTTTTAAAAGAGAAGAATTTAAATTCACAATTGTACAAACTAATTTAAATTCACAATCGTACAAACTTAAATATATATGAAAGTATTTCAAATTTAAAAACGTTAAGTTTGGACTGAAGAAAAGCATTTGATAGCGAGAGCTTCAGTTTCTTAACATCTGAACTTCTTCTTTAAAAGAATATAACTTCTGGACAGACAATCTTATTTTGTAGAATATAATCCTTGAAAGATACAACCTTTAAACTGACAATCCTATTTTTAGAATACAGTTCTTGGAAGATACTAACCTTTAAACTGACAATTCTATGTTGTAAATTATAGTCCTTGGAAGATACTTTCTTCTAAACTGACAATCCTATTTTGTAGAGTATAGTCCTTGGAAAATACTAACCTCTAAACTGACAATCCTATTCTGTAAATTATAGTCCTTGGAAGATACTATACATTAAACTGGCAATCCTATTTTGTAGAATACAGTCCATGGAAGATACTAACCTTTAAACTGACAATCCTATTTTGTAGAATATAGTCCTTGGAAGATACTAACATTAAACTGGCAATCATATTTTGTAGAATATAGTCTTTGGAAGATACTAACCTCTAAACTGACAATCCTATGTTGTAAATTATAGTCCTTGGAAGATATTTTCTTCTAAACTGACAATCCTATTTTGTAGAGTATAGTCCTTGGAAGATACTAACCTCTAAACTGACAATCCTATTTTGTAAATTATAGTCCTTGGAAGATACTATACATTAAACTGGCAATCCTATTTTGTAGAATACAGTCCTTGGAAGATACTAACTTTTAAACTGACAATCCTATTTTTAGAATATAATCTTTGGGAGGCACTAACCCCTCTAGACTGACAATCCTATTTTGTAGAATACAGTCCATGGAAGATACTAACCTTTAAACTGACAATCCTATTTTGTAAATTATAGTCCTTGGAAGATACTTTCTTCTAAACTGACAATCCTATTTTGTAGAGTATAGTCCTTGGAAGATACAATACATGAAACTAGCAATCCTTTTTTGTAGAATATAGTCTTTGGAAGATACTATACATTAAACTGGCAATCCTATTTTGTAGAATATAGTCCTTGGAAGATACTAACTTTTAAACTGACAATCCTATTTTTAGAATATAATCTTTGGAAGTATACTAACCTTTAAACTGACAATCCTATTTTGTAGAATATAATCCTTGGAAGTATACTAACCTTTAAACTGACAATCCTATTTTGTAGAATATAGTCCTTGGAAGTATACTAACTTTTAAACTGACAATCCTATTCTGTAAATTATAGTCCTTGGAAGACACTTTCTTCTAAACTGACAATCCTATTTTGTAGAATATAGTCCTTGGAAGATACAATACATGAAACTGGCAATCCTATTTTGTAGAATTTAGTCTTTGGAAGATACTAACTTCTAAACTGACAATCCTATTTTGTAGAATAAAGTCTTTGAAAGTATATTAACTTCTAAACTGGCAAACCTATTCAGTATGATATAATCCTTGGAATAAACTGACCTTTAAACTGACAATCCTATTTTGTAGAATAAAGTCCTTGGAAGATACTAACCTCTAAACTGACAATCCTGTTCAGTATGATATAATCCTTGGAAGATACTAACCTCTAAGCTGACAATCCTATTTTGTAGAATATAGTCCTTGAAAGTTCTAACCTCTTAACTGACAATCCTGTTCAGTATGATATAATCCTTGGAATAAACTAACCTCTAAACTAGCTGGACAGGATATAAAGTGCCGAACCATCCGACAGTCCCCTTCAGTAGGATATAGTCCTTGGAAGATACTTGAGAGCAGATCTAGTTTTAAACTCCTGAAAGTAAAACTTTTGTGAAAAGAATAATAACGGCCTTGATCTACAACAGGCACACATATTTTATAAGAAATAACCCAAACAAACATGATTCTTCTCACAACCTTTATACTAACTGCATTTTGATTTTATAGTTTAAACTATCAAAGGTCTACATGACATCAGGTTGTTAATATACAGATAACGGAAATTTAGATGTGGAGACGAGTAATCAAAATTCATTCATCACGCACTGAAATTCAAACTGTTCAGGATCCGAGCCAGTACAAGTATATTCTCGTACCGGCCGGTCTAGTGTAATAATACCATTGGACCAGGCACGTGATATTTAGAAAATATGTTAGGCTGGGGTTTTCTGCACTAGACCTGCTCGTACCAGCATATGCTCGTATACTAGGGGTGGGCAACCTTCCATAAATAAGCCGCAAAAACCGTAAATTTATGGATTGTTAATGAACGGAAAAAACGTTCCAGACATGACCAGTGACCGGGATATTTCATTGCTTTTTTATGTGAACAATGGATCCCATGTCAGGCTTCGACATCTGTCTTTTGTTTACTTTACAGCCTAGAGACAGTACACTGTAGTAAAAATATGCGTACACCTCTCAAATAACTATCTATGAATTATAATTCTATGACTAACGGTAACTTTAAAAAAAAAAAAAAACATTTACTAATCAAAACGTTCACATTAACGAACCGTTTGAAAAATGGCTGGACATACCCAAACCCATGCATGATCGGAGCCGGTACAACATGTACTTTTATGCATTTATTCGTACTGTCCAGTCTGAACTACCCAGTGTAGAGTCGACCCAGCACGTTTTATGCAAAAAATGTAGTCTGCTATCATCACAGTGATTATGTAAGGATTGAACTGCAATATGACTAGACACCTACTATTCTCCTGGAGTAGGAGGGGAGGAGGAATATCCCTCTCAACTGCAAGATTATGAAGATCCTCACCTAATATTCTCCTGGAGTAGGAGGAGGGGAGGAATATCTCTCTCAACTGCAAGATTATGAAGATCCTCACCTAATATTCTCCTGGAGTAGGAGGGGAGGAGGAATATCTCTCTCAACTACAAGATTATGAAGATCCTCACCTAATATTCTCCTGGAGTAGGAGGGGAGGAGGAATATCTCTCTCAACTGCAAGATTATGAAGATCCTCACCTAATATTCTCCTGGAGTAGGAGAGGAGGAGGAATATCTCTCTCAACTGTAAGATTATGAAGATCCTCACCTCTCTCAACTGCAAGATTATGAAGATCCTCACCTCTCTCAACTGCAAGATTATGGAGATCCTCACCTAATATTCTCCTGGAGTAGGAGGAGGGGAGGAATATCCCTCTCAACTGCAAGATTATGAAGATCCTCACCTCTCTCAACTGCAAGATTATGGAGATCCTCACCTAATATTCTCCTGGAGTAGGAGGGGAGGAGGAATATCCCTCTCAACTGCAAGATTATGAAGATCCTCCCAAGTGCGACCAGTTCCTAAAGATGCAGAAAACTTTTTGGTATTTTGAAGTTGATGTTTGAACTATAAAAAATTTATTTTGTTGAATATTCTTCTTTTTTTTAAACATTTGTTTTTAACAAACTGTGGTCACAGCTTCTTAAACATTCTTTTTAAATTTCATAATGCATGGTACTTTTTCAGTTTTGACAGAAAATATCAATAATTCTGATCACTCAGTAAATTTTGCTTTTTATTTCAAAGATTTTAAAATGATTAGTTTAAAATCATAGAAAATATTACCTCCACTTTTTGTCATAAACTCGTCAAACATCTCATCCTCCTGTAGTGTAAAAAATATTAATAGGATCGTTAAGGCTGCAGATATAATTGCTCAAAATATGATTGCTAGAAACAGGTTCGCTTTAAAGAGATTGAGTGAACATTAGTCAAGATTTTACCTTAGGGGAGAGTGTAATTTGATTTTCAAGTTCATTTTCATGATAAACTCCCAGTTCAAAATTGTAAACGCTTTCCGCCTACAATACAATACGTTAATAACATTTAATAATTATAAAACAATATAATTGAATTAAATTGTAATAAGAGTTTTCTGGGTTAACCATAAAGAATAAGAATTTTTAAGTCCGTGTTTTTGCATTCAGTGTTCCTTGTAGGCTTAAACTGTGCTTAATAATTTAGTAAATCATAATACTCATATCTTTATAGTTCTGGGTCGTTTTTACATTCTCATTCTTTGTGGGTAACCCTGTATGTGAGAAAAATGATGATTATATTTCTCCATGTTCTCGTCTCCGGAAACTACTGGTTTGCGGATGTATCCGATCTTATTGGTGGATTTCTTTATCTTGATATGGAAGACGATATTGGTTCCGCCACACTTTGGAATCAAGAATTAGATTTTTAAAACAGCGAAACAACGATGTTTGCTTCATTTTTGCTCAGACTCAGATAAAGGTTTAAAGGGTACCGTTGTGAATCAGGCATAACATTATTTTAGTGGGAGGGGGATGGGGGGCACTTGAAGTAAAAGTATTCACCTTTTCTGATAGTTTAATGGTAGCGCTGACCGTCATATTCTCACTTCCTTCCTCCTTCTCCTCCTCCTCCTCCTAGCAATTATTCCAAAAACAGGAATAAACAATTTTTATGTTGAAGGATTCTTTAATAAATTAATTACTGAAATCAATGGCGTATTCAGGAATTTGTCTAGGGGGGGGGGGACTAAGCCCCCATAGCCCCACCCACCTGTTATATAACGTCTAACAATCAATGTGTCATATTTCTTAAGAAGTTCGCATATTTTGTAAAACTGCAGAGTCAAAAAAGGTGTGGTTAGCGAAGTCTGGTGCAAAATTGCACCTTTTTTGTGTAACTCTCCTGTATGGTAATTTTTCAATATTTTTTGGAAATTTTTGGAATTTGTTTATTCTCCAATGTGGCCCCAAAATAAAATCCGCAAAAAGTTTATTTAGAAGTTTTTACCTGGGAAGCAGACTGGAAATTTTTAAATCTAATCACAGCCTCATTGCCAACAACCTCTGAACATGAATGAATAAATGAATAAATGAATAAATGAATAGATGAATAGATGAATAAATGATTAAATGAATAAATGAATAAATGAATAAATGAATAAATGAATAAATGAATAAATGAATAAATGAATAAATGAATAAATGATAAATGAATAATTGAATAGATGCATAATGAACAATTGAATAAAGGAATAAATGAAAAAATTAATAAAGGAAATAATTAGTAAATGAACAAATGAAAACATGAATAAATGATTGAATGAATAAATGAATAAATGAATAAATGAATAAATGAATAAATGAATAAATGAATAAATGAATAAATGAATAAATGAATAAATGAATAAATGAATAAATGAATAAATGAATAAATGAATAAATGAATAAATGAATAAATGAATAAATGAATAAATGAATAAATGAATAAATGAATAAATGAATAAATGAATAAATGAATAAATGAATAAATGAATAAATGAATAAATGAATAAATGAATAAATGAATAAATGAATAAATGAATAAATGAATAAATGAANGGAATAGGATGTTTAAAATCATATTTACATCTTTCCCCTTTTCCTATAAAGAAATTGAGTCTTGGCTACAAACCATCCCTATATCTTTGCAATCTGAGGATGTAAACCTTTGATATTTCAAACTTAGATTATTAAAATTGTTCATAGTTTGAAAAATAAAATCAAAGGTCTTCGACATTCGGTTGCTAAGATATAGAGATTTGAATCATATTTAACTATCATAAAATCAACCACTCAAATCAAACTATCATGAAATCAACCACTCAAATCAAACTATCATAAAATCAACCACTCAAATCAAACTATCATGAAATCAACCACTCAAATCAAACTATCATGAAATCAACCAAACAAATCATTTTGAATTAACCAATCTAATCATTATTTATGACATCAAGGAATTATGTTAAATTTAAAGAAAACATAAAAAAATTAATAAAATAATTTCAAAATTTTGAATTTTACCTTGTGATATGACCACTTCTTCAGTTTGGCATACGTCCTGAAAATTTTATTTTTTATTGTTTTATTGTATATAAATGAAACTGGGATAGGATGTCTAAAACTCATTTGTGACAAAACCACTTCTACAGTTTGGCATACGTCCTTAAATATTATTTTTTTTTATGGTATTATTGTAAAAAATAAACAGGGATAGGATGTTTCAAATCATATTTACATCTTTCCCCTTTTGAGTCTTGGCTACAAACCATCCCTATATCTTTGCAATCTGAGGATGTAAACCTTTGATATTTCAAACTTAAATTATTAAAATTGTTCATAGTTTGAAAAATAAAATCAAAGGTCTTCGACATTCGGTTGCTAAGATATAGAGATTTTAAAATGTGAGTTTCACTTAAAATTCATTTGATGAAAATTTGCCGGTATCGAAGAATAAGTCTCTTTACAGGCACAAAATTGCAAAAAAAATGTTTTTAAAATTAAAATTTGATCCTGAATCATCCTTAAATTTTTGGGGGAAAACCTAAGATTTGGATTGATATAAGTATTAAAAAAAAATTTCAAATTGTAAAGAATCAAATTAAACTATAATCATGAAATCAACCAATCAAATCAAACTATCATGAAATCAACCAATCAAATAATTTTAAATTAACCAATCTAATCATTATTTATGACATCAAGGAATTAAATTACAAAATAACCAATTAAATAAATCAATCAATCAAACTTTTATAAATTAATCAATCGATTCATTATAAATCAACCAAAGAAATTATCAATTAATTAAAAAATTAAATTATTATAAAATCAACCAATCAATAATTATATTCAACCAACCAATTCGTTATGAAATCAATAAATCAAAATATTATAAATCAACCAATCTAATTTTCATAAAATCAACAAGTCAAACTATTATGAATCAAATAATTAAATCATTACAAAATCAACCAATAA